CACTCTTATATTATGTCTATGGCGCCTGTGATCTTCCCTGCGTTCAAATTTTTTTCTTCTCTTTATGGCGTTTTTTTTAATGAAAGTGTGCAATACCGCCACCATCTGGTCTGGAGTATGAACTGGCGCTAATTCTATTGATTATAGATCTTAGTCATATCTGAAAATGGTTGGGTACTTTCTTAAACATTACACCATGATTATATTTTTTTTATTCTCTGCAATTTTAACAAAAATAGTAAAAGATTATTAAGGCACCTAAAAAGGCATACTTAAAAAGTATGCCTAAAAATTACATGAAAAGTACTTTTTAGGTGCCTAAAAGACATACTTCTGCATATATATTAATTAGTTTAATTTTGTAATCAGGTTGCTGCATGTTGCAGACTTCTGCCCAGGTCCCTCTTGAAAATGAGATCTGGATCTCAATGGGGTTCATCCGGTTAAATAAAGAAAACAAATAAAAAGGCATATTTTATTAGCCTAAAATTTACACTGAGATGTAATTTAAAACATAGTGAAATTAATAATTTAAAGTAGTGTTAAGTGAATTTAAAAAAAATTCTATTTTGAGCATATATTTTAAAATATACACAAAATATATTTTAAATATATTTTAAATATACTTGAGCAAGTGTATATTTACACTTGGGGAAATATATATTTTGCTCACTTAAAGTATACTTTTATTTAATATATTAAAAGTGTATTTTGGTACAATTATGTTTAAGTGTGTTTAAAGTTCTAATTTCAAAATTGGTACAAGTATACTTTTAGTATACCTCAGATATATTTATAGGTAGTACACTTAATACTTACTTAAAATGTACTTTGACAAATATAAGTATGCTTGAAATATACTAAAGTATACTTTTTTTCACCTGGGCTCACTCAGTATTTTGGCAAACAGAGTGTGGAGATCATCCTCCCAATGCTTGATTCTCAAGCACTGTGGAGACATAAGACATGTTCAAAAAAAGTTAAGCGCAATGTAACATCGTTATAAGCTTTTGGGTTATCTACTAGCTAGCAAATGACTGAAAAAAAAGAGCACTGTACAAAATAACATAGACCAGATATCAAAGCACAAGATCACCTCTGATATCTGAGTGGCTGTGTCTCCTCTGGCTCCCAGCATCACCATAGCCAGAGCTGAGGAGATGCTGAAAGGAGAGAAGAAGATGTTTGCAGTCTTGTTGTCCTCACTCAGCTTTCTGAGCAGAGCCAGAGAGAAGGTGGTGTTGGCCTTGGAGAGAGAGCTGGAGGAGGCCATAGTTTCTAAAGTAAACCAAGGATAAAACAATTTTCAAGCTGCATGACTTTGTTCAGACTAGTATTCATTCCTCGCTCTACGTTGAGTCTCTGCTGACATACTAGTTATCCACACTTCCTAACACACTCAGTGTAAAATGAAACTTATCTGTGTGTGACCAGATCCCATTCGTGTAATAAATGTTTAGCCATTAAACAGAACAATTTTTATATGCCCAAGAGAAGGAAAACTTTACTTACCAAAAGATCCGTGTTGTCTTGAAGCGATCAGGGCTGTTTCTGTGGCAGAGAGCAAACGACTCCTTGCAGTGTCGTATTCAGGTGAGCACACTCAAGTCGGCACGTGCCCTGGAAAGGAACGCGTTTTCATTTTTGTGAGTGTTGTGATTGGTCCTTCTGGGTGAGATAAATAGAGGAAACTGGTTCTTGGAACTGCCAAATCTAAACTCCTCCATCTTTGAGTATGTGTTTTTATCAGATCCTATTTCATTTTTCAGGACAATCTTGTTTTAAAGCAGAGTATCATATATTTGCATAACTCTGCCCTGCGGCAATAGGGATTTTGGGGTGTGTCTAGGTAACCAGATGAGTGACAACGAACAATGACCTTTTAAAACTTTAGGTCATATTTATATTGCAGATTAACCAACTTATGAGTTCATCATTTACAACAGCTTGGCTAAGATTGTGTCGAGAGAAGAATTGATTCAAGTTTATAGATTAAGTTTTCAACTACAGTTTAATGTAGAACCACCTAGTTTAATTTGTCACCTAGTTTCTGGCAGAACTTCCCATGAATAGGAGATATTTCTCTTTCTTACTTGTCCTGGGGCAAAGTGGTGGCACCTCCTCTTCGCACAAAGAACCGGAAAATGCTGAAATACCCGCTGGAAGATTCTTCACAACACAACAACGAGCCACATAACATCCAAACCAGCAGCAGAGAAATCCCAACCTAGAGATAGCAGAGCTGGTGAGAAAGGCCCTGAAGTAAAGCAGAATGTTACCTCTTAATAGAAACACTCACAGCCCCTTTAAAAACTGGTAAAGTTGAAGTTTATTTCATTAAGAATACTTGACTATCAGCTTAAGTATAGCAAGTTCTACTATGTGCCATGCAGTAGTGTACTAGAAGGTATGCTAAGCTAATGCTCTGTTAGACTACACTAAACAGATTTCCGTTAATAAACAAATACTTTTCTAAAATCAATTTTAAGTTTACAAAAATATCCATTTAAGTATGAAACAAGTACACCAATCTATTAGTACTAATAATGTACTAAGTACATACCTGTAGTTCTGTTTTTGGTTTATTAAGAACCTTTGCAGTATACCACAAATGCACTCTTATCTTACCAATTCTCCATTTATATACTTCTAGTCTTTATTTTTGCTTATGTAGGTGTAGTTCAAGTACAATTTTATTAATTACTGAAACTGAAATGCACTACGTTTTGCTACTTTAATAGATTGCAACTTTAATAGCTTGTTTTAATACAAGACGACTTGTACATTTGCTTCGTATATTACTTGTAACATACTATTTACATACTGAAATTCACTCAGAGCAAATGTAGCTTCTAGATTGTTGAGCCCACTCTGCATTTTGGCAAACAGAGTGTGGACATCATCCTTCTTTGAGAATTATGGAAAAACTCTTATTATGGAAAGACACCAGAGGCTTGACATGATCAAGATGGGTTTCTATGGCAGAGAGAGATTACTCTTGGCAGTGTCATATTCAGATGAGCACAGTCGGTTTGTGCCCTTCAGGGAACATATGTGTGTGAAAGCTCTGTTGTGACTGGTCCTTTTGGGTGAGGTAGGTACAGAAAACTAGTTTTCAACAAGAATGGAATTAGGTAAAAATGCTCTGAAGACCAGTTGGAATCCAAATGTTCATTTATCTCCTCCCAAAAAAGAAGCCCGTTTGGAGGCCTGAACATGTATGAAAACTCTTAAACTTTAAAATGTCCTCCACGTGAAATTTCTAGAATTTTAATGAAATCAAAAGCGGGCGGCTCTACATCGCCCCCTAATGTGAGACAAGCCAAATGGTAGATCGTACAAAGCTGAAACTTGGTACACAGGTAGAAACCACTAAGACAAAAAAAAAAAAAGTCTGTTGGAGGTATGCTCTAAACACAACAGCAAGTCAGCCATTTTTGATCAAAGGGTCATTTTCAGGCAGCTTTGACTCATGGACATCCTGCTAAATGTGCTAATGGCAGAGAAACAACTTACTAATAAAGGAAAATTATTTATCTACCATCTTTGGTGACCACATTAACTAGCTTGAGGATTCCCAACAGGCTGTGCCAGCTGCAGCAAACACACACATTGTGATTGACAGCGCTAAGACATGCCTCCTGGCTCTGATTGGTTGTTTCAGTTAGCACTGCGAGAAGGCAGAGCACCTTGATTTTTTCACACATTATCTGTCTTATAGCTTACTGTTGCAACATAGTGACAGTTTTAACAAATATGTAAAAAAAAATATTCTGGTGCAGCTTTTTGGATGGTTAGTGGAAAGCTGCAGGGATCTGGTTGAACGTGAGCCTTTCTTCCCTTCTGCTCAGTTTAATCCACATCACCTTTGGGTATGGCTAGTTAGCAACATTCACACACAAATATTTCTCAAGTAGCTTAAACAAATAAAATTTATTATGTGTTTGCTTGAGAGAGAACTTATGTAGATATAGCCCATCATAAAAATAATCAACATTCCAACTTTCCTATTAGAAAATATTTGTTTTTAAAGGAGCTTAATACTTCAAGGTGCGTCCGTGCAAGTTTTTTTGTGAAGCACTATTAATAAACATTTAAAATGATTTGCAGGAAGAACAAAGGAACAGAAGTAAAGCAATAGATACATCAAAAAGACAAGCCCTCCGATAAAAGTATAAAAATATGTAACATTACATCAATTTAAACACCAGAGGTATGACAGAAATGAAAGACCTCTGTAGGTAAGCAGCAGAAAACTTTTTTTTCAGTCCTAATTTAATGGAAAAAAGACAAATAAGAAGGGGATAGGATGAATATGTTTATACTTCTATTACTACCTCAATATCTTTTGTGACTTAAACCATTAGAAAGTTTACTTTTTGGTAGAATCAGAGCTTCTGAAAGTTTTTAACTCTAGCAGCTTCAGTCATCTTGCTATAAAAACAGTGCATAAAACTTCATAAGGCGGCTTGATCCTCATAGCATTTATGCAGTGTACTCTGACCTAATAAGTCATGAAAAAAAATGACAATACTGCAGCTGATGCAACCTTTCATGATGCAGTCATTGCTCTAAAAGAGACAGAGCGCACTAAGGGGAGCAGAAGCGTCCTGCGAAGAGAATACTCTTGGTGGGGTCATGGCGGATGAAGAAGAGGAACGGGTGGTCTGCAGTGAAGCTAATCGGAATATTAATTCGAGGAAGGAATGAACTGCCACAACGGAAACGCATCTGAGTGGAGGCGGCAGCTTCAGTTCCCTTCTCGTTCACCTCCACGAAAGCCTTGTGGGACACGCTGGACAGAAAGAGGTCCTTGTTTCCAGACATTCCTGACACAAAGGACAGAATATCATCCCAGTGCTGCATTTTACGTGTCAAAACTTCAACCAGACCAGCTTGTAACCACTGATGGTCTTAGTGTTTACAGTCAGCAACACCAGTTGCTGACAGATATTCTTTTAAACGATGAATTGTAATTGTTTGGTCTCAGCTCCCAACACCCTGAGTTTGAAATCAAAGGTTAACAAATAGTGTCAAGTTTCAAATAATGATTAAAAGGGTTAAAAAGACATTCAAACAAACTCAGCCTGGGTAGAAAAAAGTAAATGCTCCTTTTAAATAATTACTGGTGCCAAGATTAACAGCAACAACTGTCTCTGGGCAATGCAATTTTAATATCAGGTAATATGGCTTTGAAACACTTCTCTTCGGAGGATTGCTGTATTTCAGTCACAATGGAGGGTTCTCAAGTAGAAATGACTTTAAGATCACAGTGTATTTTACAAATCTTCTCCATTCATTGTAAATGATTCTCCCTTTGGTTCATTGGAGTCCCAAAGCCTGACTCCAACCATTCATCCATCGTCTACACCCGATTGTCCTTGCTGGGTTGGGTTCTATCTCCAGGGGTCAGTGGGCGAGAGGTGGGCTACTCCCTGGATATGTCATAAGTCCATCACAGAAAACTGAACTCGGCTTTCTAAATAATGTGATTAATCACAAAGAATTCCTGATTCAATTTTTGGGGCAATTAACAGCAGGTTGCTATGTTCAACCTGTTACATCATCATTAAAAAACTTGAAAAAATTCCTTTTGTATTTTCTCAAGTTATATTTGTCTGATATTCAAATTTGTCTGAATATCTGAAACACTAAAAATCAGTAAACCAAACAGGAAAAGCTAAGATGTGTATTTGTAAACGTCGGTGTGCCTCCAGAAAAGATTTCTGGCCTCATGTCTCACCAGAGAAGTCACTCTTCTTTATATCAAAAGCGTCCGCCATGCCCATGCTGCTCAGGACTTTGTTTAGGTCATACGTCTCCTCCAGCTTGAACTGAGGAAGCTTCACTTCAACCAGAGAGTCTTTCATGTTGTCAGGATGGGTCCACTTCAGGAATTTCTCATAGGTCAGGTGCTTCTCCAACTGGCAAGATACAAGTTGTGTATTAATAACAACATTAAAATGTGTGGTAATAATAACAATGCTAATGTTTATTTCTGTCTCACTTTTTTTAGCCCCGTTGAGCTGTCTCGTATTCCTTTAGGTAAAAAGATGAGCATGCTCAGCTTGTATCCTTCGTAATGCATCACCAGGATCTGTCCAGTAGAAACATGAAGGTCATTGTAAATGCTGGGATCACTGCAAGTCTCTCAAAGTTTGATCATCGCAGTAATTAATATACTAAGCAAATTTGTGCTTGATTACCTGGCATCTGACTTCTGAAATGTAGGCATGGTGGAAATAGTTTTTTTGGAACATCATCTGGACCGGCTTAGTGACGACCTAAAGACAAGAAACGCAAGAATTGTAATGAAAACATTTGACGATGAAATAAGCGAGACTCCAGTTGACAGCATTGCTTTCACACAACTTATTATAACTTGGTAACAGTGTCGTCTGATTAAAGATGGACTTGTGGCCAATTTGCTGTTTTTAAAGTTTTGACCTGCCGATAGGAATATTTGAATTTCCATCCCCCATCATCTCAATAATGAGACTTTGAATTAATTTTATTATGAGCCAAAATAACTAAAAGAAAAAAGGCTTGGCAAAATATTGCCAATTCAATTTTTTTTTGTTGGAAAAAATACTAAACAAAGCGAAAGGTGGCTCAGTTGGTAAAAGTGTGGTGACTATTTTTCAGTTTCCAACTGACAGGTGAGGAAAGTCAAGCTGAAAATTGTGCGTTCCAAGTCGCTCTGCATAGCTGATCATGGAATTCAATTTCTTAAACTCACAACATCAGTTAACATTAATTAAATTAATGTTTTACCTTGTTGAGTCTAAATTTAGACTTGTATGTTTTCTCCATGGAGAACGGCATAAACCAGTCGCCCTTGAAGTACAAAGCATTAACCAGAACCATCCTGGTCATGTTGTCCACTCCACCCTCAGCCACCATATCCTTGATTTTACCTGGTGACAATATGGAGGCAACATGGATCAGAACCAAGACCAGAGAGACTGAAGCTTTTAATGACATAATAATAACACACTGTTCCACTGGATGAAGCTCTTGATCCTTAGACTCTAAGACTTAGAGTTCACACTGTGTGGGATAGTCAGGGTCATGAACCTATGGTGTGTGTGTGTGTGTGTGTGATTCAGCGTGTGTGATCCACCTTGTGTCTTTTCCTCCACCCAGTTGTTGATCTTGACCCTGGCTTCCTCACTGCTGGTTCTGAAGTCCACAGCCTCCAGCTCCGAGTCGTAGTGAGTCTTTGTTTGGGTTAAAAACTCCTGGAAGAACAAACAGAAGATCCATGAATTCATGAATTCATGAATTC